GACATGCAACAGGGCTCTAACGTCTTGAGGAACAAACTGAAATTTATTGGGTTGGCCAGTTCAGACTAATTGAAAGAAATTGCGTGTCTCTTTGCTTTCTATTAGCTCGGTAAAAGGTGATGTTTCTGGGCGGGGTGATGGCCGAGGCCCTGAGCTTTTTGCCCTCTATTCCTCACCCCGGTGCTGTTCGTCTGTTAATGGTTTGATCCATGAGCACCATCCACTGAGCAGACAGGCTGAGCTGTGGGAATCATTTAAGGAGGAATCGTTTAGGGAGGATTTATGAGATGCATTCATTATGAAGTGTGCGGCGGCAAACAGACTTCGATCTGTAATGGCAGCTTGGTAATGGCTCCGAACACTGGCTCTGTACTTTGTTGTTACTTTGCTGCTATTTTGGTTCACGCCTCTCCCTGAGAATGCAACCTGCTGACTGTGACTAATTATTGGAGTACATGGATTTGGATTATTTTTAGAAGCTACTTCTAGAATGATGCACAGCTGCCCAACTGGACTCATTAAGTTGGAATATTTCTATTATTAGGACAATGTCAATTTTACAGGGTTAAACATGCAAGAAAAAAAAAAGTGGAAGTATTGGTGGACTCCCACTCCTGCAGGGGGTGCTATAGAAGCAGTTTGAACAATTTTTTTTGCATCGTTATGATATAATAATCAATGAAAATTGATTAACATAATTAATTGATTCACATAAAATAAAATGCCAAATGAAATCCCCAATCCCCAAATTTCCAAGCAATAACAAATTCAGATTACTATTTGTTTAATGTGGTGTTCACAGATGCTCCTGTAGGAGGGGCACATGTTTATATTTAAGGTTCCTTTCAACAATTTTTTCATCAACTGTTATAAGTGCAATTACAGCCAGTACTATTTAAGCAGAATGAAGCTTAACTTTACAGATGTTCGACAATAATGACGGACCAATACAGTATTGTCGGACAATATTAGCATAATTATGTAATATCTGTAAGAATCGTTATCGTTTTTTCTTCCGATAATAAAAACCAGATAATGCAATGACTGAATTTCAGCCAAATGATGCGTACCCTAAAAATTGTTATGGGGAAAAACGGCTGTAGGTGAAAATGAAAGTCACTAGATGGCAGCATTGCAGCTCATTTCATTAATCTATTTTAATAATCAGTGGATTTCTATGTAGAATACTGGTTCCAGCAAGTCAATGTGTTTGTACAGGTAAACAAATAAATACTACCAGGCCTTTAAGAGTATTTCAATTCTTGAAATTCCTGCCATGCCAGAAGGTTCCGTTCAATTCAATTCTACCAACAATAGACCGCAATCCCAGCTGGCGTTGCATCAAAAACACTAACCAATCACCACGATTATTGAATCACTGCTGCATTGAGCCAACGACGAAGTGACAAGTTAAAGCGATTCTTCATAAATACTCCAAACGTAACGCTACATCTATAGTGACGCACATATCCAAGAGGCTTATTGGCTCATAAAATTACCACATGTAGGAAATAAAGTCGTGTTTCATCCCGCACCCGGGCTGACGTCTAATACTCCAGTTAATGTTTTCTGTGAGCACAACTTCACCAGAAGATGTTTGGTAGAAAACAAATCCCATAAGCCCCGTAGTCACATCAGCGTTTCACTGCCAATCTGTTTATACCAGTAAAACATTACTGCCAGTCCATGAAAGGCAGTGTGACTTAAGAGTGAAATGTATGCCTGTGCGTGTGTTTGTTTTTTTATCGGACCTGAAGAATCTGTTTTACTACACAGAAAGCAAAGCAAATATTAAAAAAAAAAAAAAAGTGAGTGACCAACCTGCCGGTGAAACGACAGACAGACATTCAGCAAAGTTACAGAAACAGACAGTTGAAAACATTTCACTTCTGCCAAAATCACTGACAACTTGTGCCTGCTGCCTCCTCTTCTCTGTCACCCAAGGTAAACTCTGTCTCCCCGTCTCCCTGTCTGCTCAATTATAATTGCTCACATTTAACAGCTGAGATTCCGAATCCTGAAGAGCAATGATAAGGAGGCAACGCACACACACACACACAGTCAGAGAGAGAGAGAGAGAGAGAGAGAGAGAAATTAAATGCATGTAGCTCCCGTAGAAATTGACTGGCACTGGTGTTTAAAATAATAAGATGCAGCTGTTGATAGTAGTGACTGTCTCCACGTTTACTTCCCCGTGGCCCCTGTGGCAGCGGAGGAGCCATGATGAAGGCAGACAGCTGACAGGTGCTTCAGGATGATGCTGCCATCAGAAATGGCTGGGTAGATAGAAGTGCGGGGGGGGGGGGGGGGGGGGGGTGGAGGGGAAGGATGCTCCAGCAAAAATGAGGAGGTGAGAGAGAGATGAGTGGCCGAACAACAAAAGAAAGCTGGGGGAAAAAAAAAAAAACATTTTTGAAAGATGACAAAAGTGGAGCGAGGGTTCGTTTGCTGGCGTTGCCACAGACTTCCTGTAAAGGATTTTCACCGAGTCTGTCACTCTGACAGGCTAGCGTACAGGTTTACTGAGCGGGTCAGAAGATCTGAACGTCCCGAAGACAGTGAGACACTTGGACGACGCTGCAGTAAGTTAGGAGACGGAGGGGAAACGACGCAGGAAAGATGGCGCAGGGACCGTGACAAATAATCCAAATTTAAAAAAAAAAAACAAAAAAAACAAAAGAAAAGTTGGAAGGAAAGAAACACACCTGACGGATGACGTGCTCCTCCTGCCCTGTGTTTATTTATAATTGCACGCCTCAGCACTTTACAACTGCTGTTCACACACACACACACACTCACACACACCTTTCCACGTTTTGCATCAGAAATGCAGCTTTGCTTTGTTTCAACGTACGCCCGTAATGGATGCACCCCGTGTGCCGCGCTGACAGCAGCGGGCGCTGGCGACGTATCTGACTTTAATAAAAAGGAGTGAGGAGCTGAGGCGGGGAGTTTCGACCCCCGTGAACCCGATACGTTTGAAGAGGAAGGTGTCGTCGAACTCATGATGAAGACTTCACAGGAATTAAAACTAGGGCTCTGGGCAGAGAGGAGAGTCGAGGTAACGCAACCAAGGAGCTGATCCCTCCAACCCTCTGCTTCTGCTGCACACACACACAACCTCACACACTCCCTAATACACAAATGCACATTTGTGAGCAAGGAGACGAGTGTGACAGAGCCCGGTGCATAGCAGGTAGGCCGACAGAGTGGCTGAGAGCGCTGTCACCAATTTGTTCCTAGCCATGGGGGACATGCAGGGGATGGAGAGGCGATGGCAGCTCCCTGTCCTCATCACGGCTAATGAGGCCCAGGCTTCTCCTTCTTCCTCTGTGGATCTGTGTGTGTGTGTGTGTGTGTGTGTGTGTGACACTGGTTTGTATCAGTTTGTGTCAGAGTGCTGCCCAAACACAGTGACACAAACTGAGAGAGGAAGAAAAAAAACCCAGAGTTGATATTTCCCATGGACCACCGTGTTCCCTTAGTTTTCTCTTAGTTCACACCTCACCCAGCGGAATTATTTACCCAGCCGAGAGACACTCACACACACAGAGAGAGACAGAGAGAGAGATGATCTTGTTGAAGGCAGATCTTCAGGGACACAACACCAGCTGAGGCGTTCTCACTGTGCTGGCTGACCCATCAAATCTTCAAGGAAAGCGAGGAGGGGGGAAGAACAAAGATGACGCCGGGCGTGCTGTGATCTGACAGAGCTGAGAATAATAAAAAGTTATGACGAGGAAGTCAGGTCGGTGGGAGACAGTGTGGGGGAATTTGCTAGAAGAAGTGAACTATGGAGAGCTACAAGGCTGACCATGTGGTCAGTAATAATGATCGTTGGTCTGTATGTGAAACAAATGTATCATCAACATAGAAAAGTAGCTGGATGGTGGTTTGTCATCTGCAGGTGTGCTGCCATCTGCATGGATTTTCTTTTTTTTGTTTTTGTTGTTTATGGCCAGGACACTTGTGGCCGCAACTTATAAAACTGATAGAATCAGTAGGTGGCAGTATTTAAAACCCGTCCAGATGCTACAAAAATAATTGAAAAATTATAAAAATGACCAAAAGTTCTCTGCCGGTTTCGGCCATACTTTGCATATAAAAGTCTAGGAAACGACTTTTTGGTATCAACCACTGGTTTCAGATCGTCTTGGTACGATGTTCCTGCATCACCAAGGTGGTCATTAGGACGAATATTAGCCAAAACACAGCAGCAAATATCCATTAACAAACACACACGAACACTTTTAAACTTAACCAAACTAATGACCTTTTTCCAAGAAGGCAACAACAACAACCATCATGTAACATTAATAATCTCAATAGTACATTTCTACGTAAAGGTTTACGCTGGTGCTGTGATTGACAGATAAATCGTCCAATAAAAGAATGTCAACGGTTGTCAGCGACTTTCATTCAGGTGACTTTCAACCAGACAGAGTTTCAGATAGTGAGTCTAAAAAGAATCATAATCTAAAAAAAATCCCGAATATCACTGGCTCCTAGTTTAAGTATATTCTAGTTTTCGTGATTTGGATTTTGGACAGCAGAAAAGTTCATTTACGACTGGATCATCTCTTGAACTCTTCACTGTATCCTGTCTCCGCGGTGCGTGAGGAGTGATTCTCCCACTCGAGATGTGAGGATGGCATCTATCTTCACGACACACTGAGACATTCGGTGTGAAAAATTAGAAGTGTGTGTGTGATGCGGCTGCAGCTGAGGACAAACGGGGGTGTGCATTTGTATTTCTGGAGCTCCTCCGTGTGGTGGTAAATTGGAACTGCAGCCTTTGCGCGTCGCGGGTCATCTGGTTTCGGCCTGTCCTGCAGGTCAGGTGAACAGAAAATTTTGATGGATTTTACAGACAAAAAAAAAAACACTATTGGGGAAGTCGAGCTCAACAGTTATGTTGGATTATAAAATCAGTCCATTCTGCTTTTCTATATAAATGACAATGGCTAAATTAAATTAATTAAAGTTCATAATATTTAGAGTATTAATATGTAATGATTATGCTTACAGACACCCCTCACACACACACACACACACACACCTGTCCTGCAGAAAAGTGTTGCCACCACTAGTTTACACCACACAATGGAATAAGATGGAACTGAATTAATGACGTCTGTTGTTACCCATTATTAAGAGACACAATATAAAGAAGACAATTTCAGGTCTATTTTAATATCACAAGTCCAAAGGAAAAAAAAAACAGAAAAAAAAAACGTCCTTATCCGGGGTTTGCAACTCCTCTCACTGAGATTAATGCGTTTACACAGAGGGCAGTGGCATTAGCAAAGAGAAAACAAGAAGAAGGAGAAGAGCCGGGGGGAACACGGAAGATGAGCAAAGCAGCTAAAGGAAAGGAGTAAAAAGTTGTAAAAACAAACGCTGAGAACATCCGGGCCGAGTATGAAAAGAGGAAGAAGGGCAGAGAGAGAGGATGGAGGTAGGAAACGGAGATCCTTGAATTGTTTCTGCTGATTCACACAGCACCAGAACATGGCCTCGTCAGCGCTCAGAGGCAGTGGTGGTGGAGACATCAGCTTTTGTCTTTTCACACCTCTGGGCAACCTTCACAGTGAGAGAGAAAGGCGGCCGGAGTAGAGATTACCGCTCTAACTCTCGACTTCTTCAAACATTTGAGCTTTAAAAACCATTCTGTGCTTTTAGCTTCAGGGTCGGGGAAACACTCACAGTAAGACGTGGCTGTCTGAGGAACCACTTCGTGTTACTTTGAAACGAGAACTAACGCTGGAAACATTTGAGCTGAATTCACTAATGCAATGAGATAAAAACGAAACCTGTGTTTAGACCGTGAAGACTCTGTCATCATCAGGGCGAAGGTGGCGGAGGTTTAAAGAGACCAGTCTTTCTGAAGTAGCGCACGATCAGAGGCACGGACACCAGCGTGATGCTGATGCGTACCGGAGCGAAGAGCTTATGAACGGCGTAGGCCAGGACGAACGTACTGGTGCCCGCTGCCATCTTTGACTGGACCACCGCCTCGCTGAAGCCCAGTTTGCACAGCAGGGCGGCCATGTCGAGCCCACTGTGGAGACACGTAACAGAGTGAGTCAAATCAGTTTCACAAGCAAACTTAAATTAAATAATTAAAAATGATAACAGTTTTACTAAATTAATAAGATCAACATTTTTAGGAGTGTTGGATTATTTTAATTAATCAGGATTAATATCGATTCATTTCAATGTCAATAATCACAATTAAGTGAGATTAAGCTACAGCAACCCTGTGGTCAATCAGATTCATTACATAAACATAAATATACATATATAAATATATGAATGTTTATAATACGGTTTTAACACCGTATTATATACATATATAAATATATGAATGTTTAAAATACGGTTTTATGCGCAGTTCAAACACATTCAGAATAGCAGATTATTAGATCTTTGTCTTGACAAAAATGCTATTTACGACCACCAGAGGGCGGTGTGCACAACAACTTGTGTCCTACTTCAGTTGCGGTTGACCTATATAACAACCAGAACAGGAATTACAGCCAGTTAACTGATTAAATCAGACAAATAGAGATGTGTTTAATCAGCGTCACACAGCTCTGACTGTGTGAGACACTGTTGCACAGTTATGGATTCTTTCCTCTGAGCTATTTGGAGAATTAAATATGCAAAACAAAAGGTAGGAAACTCTCTCTCTCTCTCTCTGTCAGTCTATGTCTCTCGCTCTGACATTATCAGCTTCTTTTGCGCTGCACAAACTTCCATCTGCAGCTGGACAACTGTTTACCCAGCACACACGCACACACACACACACACAGCAGTGTGTCAGCGGGCCACGTGTCTGCTCTCTGTAGACTCAGCGATGAAGCCCGGCGATTGTTGGCTGCAGAGTTAGTTTTCAGTTCAAGGGTCATTAGAAGCTACAGGAGGAAATCTCTAAGCTGTCAGATCATCACTGCCAAGTCTCTCTCTTTGTTTCTGAGGCCCTGCCAGTTGGACTAATGGACAGACCAGGGGCTGAGTGCCGCAGCTCTGCTCTGCTGTGCGGCTCTGGCCCTGAGTCTCAGTCCATCACTATCATCGCAAGAATACTGCAGAATGCAGAACAGCAGGGCCCTGAAACCTGTATAAGTGAGTGCACATTTTAAAAAGCATTATTTATTTATTTTTCTGTACTACATGGTGTATTAGTTTCACAGTCAACAGCTCCGAATATTGGATTTGTCCCTGATTATTCGCTTTACATGTTAGCAGAAGAATCTATGATCCTATCGGCAGTAAATAGGTTAAATCTGAGCTCAAAGTCTAAGCTCAAAGCTACTGTGAGAGCAGCTTCTTTAAAGTTCTCTACAACACAATTGTGCTCATTTCTGTTAGACTCAAAGTCATTGTTTCACTTTTGAAAAATAAAAAACAAACCCAAATAAAAGAACAGATTCAAACAGTTCAGGTTTCCCTGTCTGATTTATGTGATCAACACAAACATGCCCAAACTGAGCTCCTTTGGTTCTGCCACCTGTGAAAGAGCCCGACCATCTGCTCTTTGTTTACCTGGATATGAGGAGGTAGAACATTCCCAGAGACATGAGGGAAATCCCGATGTGAAAGGAAACTCCGACTGCTCCGTACTCCTTGAAGACTTTCTTCAGCTGCTGGGTCTTGCTGGGCTTCCCTCCTTCTGGCTCAGAACTCTCTGGGGCCTTTTCACGAGATGGGGACGAGGTAGACGAGCCCTTCAGATTTCGCTCCTCCTAAACGAAAATGGAATAAAACAGAGACAGAGAAAGAACATTTGGAAAAGTTAAAGAAACTCTATCCTTCATTTAACTCAGGGTTTGAGTTTGGCAGCTGTAGGTTTGTTTATTTGTTGTAGCAAAACCTGTGGGACAGGTTTGACATTTTACAAAGAATCTTTGAGTTGATATGAAAAGCATATCGTAAGAAAACAAGGCTTCACTGTCAAATATAGAATGTTTTTTCTACGGACATTTCAGGATGTCCAAAAACTAATGTCTAGTTAATAATATCGTTAATAGACTAAAAAGATTGTTGAAAAAACTACAAATAAATATATACATTGACGATTACTTTTTAAAAAATTTAAAACTACAAATAAATATATACATTGACAATTACTTTTTAAAAATTTTTTTTTAGAGAAGGCAAAAACCACAGCATATCTGTAAATAATTTGGTCCGAGACTTAAACTCAGAGGAGGCTTCACAGTTGTTCAGCCGGAGTATTACTGCGTCTGATTGTCGCACTTTGCTTACGGCCCTGTTTGCCACTCAGTTTCCTCATCGTCCTGCTGTGATAATGCAATTACACCATCTTTTATGGCTTCCCTCCAGGTTCACTCTGTGTTCCCATTTTCATTAGACATAGGGTTTGAAAAATAATTACTGTTTCAACTTCACGGCCAATTTTCACTTTTTACGCCTGCGATGGGGGATTAAGTTTTAACTGGCAGCAGGGCACCAGCATGTTGAGCAGCTCAGCTCCGGTCGCCTACAGTAGTTATTAAAAGAATCTCTTCTGCCACGGGGAAACACAGCTCTTCTGAGAGAAAACAGGAAATAGTTCAGGCAAGAGTGGAATTTTATCTATTTTTAGTCAAACTGCTGGCATACTGGAATGCACAGAAGTAAAATGACTAACTAAAATGAGTAATGCTGCCCACAGTGACCTATTTAGGTGAATGTTAAAGTCAGAGTCAAGTGGAACAGGAATGAGAACATGACATAAGTCGATTTCACTCCTTTAAAAAGGAAGTACCATGAAAAAGACATGCAGTTTCTCAACTGTGGGATGAAAAAAATATTGATATTCTAATTTGCCTACAGGTGAACGCCCCTCAGCAACTCAAAAAGTGTTAATTAATTTTATATTTTTATTATTTATAAAAAATATGTTATTTCTATAATAGAGTATATAGGGTATTTATTATGTATCCTTTATTTGTATACTTGGAATAAAGTACTTCTAAAATAAAGGACAATTTGTTTGTCAATTTCATGTCTTTTTCACTTTTTACTTTTTTCATATTCAAATAACCATTTATTTAAATTAATTTAAAGTTAAAAATCAATTGATTGGATGACTACAAAAACGGATTGCTACATCTATAGTTTATTTATTCCAAACTCCCAGGATGCAATCACAGATGGAGTTTTTTTTTTTTTTGTCCACTGGCCTGAAAACAATGGACAATGGAGTTGGACGTGGGCGAGGGAGCGGCCTTTTGCTTTACAGAGGCCACTGAGGCCATGCTAAAAGTATAGTCAGGCAGCAGCATGGGAGGGTCATGTGAGCGTGCGGCCTGGGGGAGCATATGCGTGGGTCAAGTATATAGGAGGCGAACAGGGAGACTGCTGTGTCAGATAACAGCTTTTCACAGGCACCAAAACACACGTGAACCAGCTGAGCCACACTGGCATTCAAACTCTGACAAAGGCACTCACATTCACGCTCAGAGAATACGAGGGTGAAGTGGAAATCGTGCATCTCTATTGTCAGATAACAAGGAAGGTCAACATCTGACCCACTCTCTCACAACCTGTCTGAGGCGGGAGAGCAAGGGCTTTATTCTTTATAATGCCTCAGCATGGAGTGCGCATGAGATGTTAAAAAAAAAAGAGAGAGAAGCAGATGGTTTGTTGCTCCATGTTGACTGCAAATGTGAAGAAAAATTTAAAGTAGTTCATTTACATTAAGGGCTGTCACTGATGGGGTGAGGGGGTCAAAAGTTCAAGTTTTAAAATCCTGTTCAAGAACAAGACAGGCGGTAGAAGCAGTTAGCTCATGACAGGCCTGCTAGTTCTGTTGTTAGCATTCAAGCTACAACGTCGTCCTCAGCAATGCTCTGGATAATTTGGTGGTTTAGGCGGGATTATAACCGCCTCCCCCTTCCCCTTTATCCCCTCCCATACCTCTCCGCACAAACACACACACCACCATTAAATATTAACAGGCAATTACCCAATGGTTTGACTGCTGGTCAAAGACACCAGCACTAAAACAAACACTAAAAGAACATAAAAACATGAACTATGATAAAGAATTTTACGAGAAACATTTATAAATCCTGGTCAAGTTTTGTGCTAATAGTCTGTTATGCTCCCAAAATGTTAGAATAGAGGTGCTGTTTTCAACCAAAGCAAACTAGTATGATATAATATAAAAATAACAGTTGCAGTGAGGACAAAGTACAGTAGAGGTTTGATGGTCAGTTATAAAAACAAAAAAAAAAACACAGGTTGTTTCTGTAATTTTACCTCCTTACTGTTGAAGATAAGATATTTTAAAGTGTTTTCTTACAATTTCCAAAACAGACTTTTTAAGTTTATGAAAATAATGTTGTAATTTTTGTTAATTTTTAATTTTTTGTGAACTTACAAAAACATTTCACATTCATTCATCCCTAATAGTAAGAAACTGTCGTTTTAACTTAATTGTCACATTCATTCATCCCTAATAGTAAGATGTAAAAAAAAAAGTAAATAAATAAAAACTGTCGTTTTAACTTAATTATAATTGATGCTGGCTTCTGTCCATCTCATTTCTTTCCAAAAATATTTCACTTAAACCTTAGACTTAGTTCTTGTGGAGTTTTTATAACAAATGATGCCGGTTGTCTTGTTAATTTAAGGTTTTATTTTTTAAATGTTACCGTTTTATCATCCTATTGTTGTATTTTTTTCTTAACGGGGCCCTTCAGGCTAGTACTTGTCCTGAGGACAGTTTGTGGATTCTTCCTGGCTGGCTGTGGTCTGTTGAACAAGCACAAAAACAAACCCCCCTCCCCAACTGCTCCTGAACGCACCCACTGCTCCTCAGGGATTGGTTAAATCCAGAGAAACGCTAATATTTTAGCGTTTGTTTCTTCACGAGTATTTAAAGTTTTTTTTAAAATTACTTATTAATGAATTCATTATTGTACATATTTTTACCTACTTATCGCGTTAAATAAACGCCAGTTTATGTGAACATAAACTTTTCCGGGAGGGGCAGGTGAGAGAGCTACCGGTCGAGTGAGGCAGAAAGGTTAAACTGATAAGAGACAGACAGACAAACAAACGGACCAACTCTCCTGTCTGTGGACACAGCCTGGTTAACACAGAAATTACATTAACAATTATCTGAATTTTAAATTCACCGTCAAGTTAGTGCCTGTAGTGGAGACCTCCTCTCTGTCGTCGCTCCTCCTGGGAGCTGCAGCCGTGGAGGAAGCTCTGACGTGCATGGTCCTGCTGATGGAGACTCCTCCGTTACCTGTGAACGTAACATGACCCAGAGGCTCCGCTCTGCTGCTGAGGGGGCTGTGGCGCCTTCTCCAGCCGAGCGACCACGGCCAGATTAAATCTAAATGCCCGCCCTCACTGTCCAAGACTCGTTCCAAACGTCTCCAGTCCGCGGGTACGAACCCGGCTGCTCCACAGCTGTCAGTTTGCGGCAGCCGCTTCCTCAGGTGCGCAGGTGTTGACCCGACAGAGACTCCACACAGAGACCGGCTGCTGCACTCAAACGTATGACCCTTGTGTAATGTCAGGGTGACGCACCTCGCTCTGTTTGCTTTGTGTAAGCCGAGAGTCTGCTCCAGAGCCGGGGCACACAGCCGCCCTGCGACACACCGTAGCATCGTCCTCCACCTCCTCCAACCGACTTCAGTTAATCCGATAAATTTAAATAACACTGGCGGATGGTTGACAACATGAAGTGAACTGTAAACATGCTGTGCTGTGTCCTCCTCCCCCTCCTCCTGCTCCTGATGGTGACCGATCAGCAGCAGCCAATCAGCGCCAGTGTACCGTGGAGGTTTTAGAGGAGGGCGGGAGGATTTAAAGTGGCCGCGCTAAAAAACACAAAACAAAACGTGTCATAAAAAAACGACCATAGTCATTGTGATATTTTCTGTCAAGACTGTATATTAAAAACTGGACGGAACTATTTCTACCATCAAAAACAAAAAACGACCGACCGACCGGAAGTGACCCGCTGGTTTCGGAAGTCACCATGTTTGCATATTAGTTTACTCTAGACAGTCTCTAATATACTCCAAAAAATATAAAAACAATCACTACATATATAACATTTAGCCTTTCTAGACAAACATAAAACAAAACTTTTTTTTTCATTGGATAAAATGATGATACAGGGTTGTCTGTTGTCAGCCAATAAACTTTAATTAAATATTTGTCACCCTTTTTATACCGTATATACTTATATGTCTTTATTGTTGATTAGCACAGTTCTTTGTCACCTGTTTAAGGCCAGACTGTGGCCTGTTGGTTAATGTCGGCTCATACTGTCACTTGTTGTTATCTTTTGGAGATGTTATGTGTTGTCCAGATAAGACTCTTCGGTTAACTGACATGAAAGTCCAGTAACTGTGTGATAGGTAGCGGACCAAGCCCTGTGTAGCCTTGTGTATTTCCATGTATACTAAATTTTGAGGTGTAAACATAAGCAAAGACAATGCAGAAAGACTGCAGATTTGCATAATGGGTTAAACCCATTCAAAAAGAATGGCAAAACACATTCAAAAACAGTATGTAAAAAAGAACTGACATATAACAGAGTGAAAGTGCGTAGGTGGTGAGATGTTCTGGCAGGAAGTGCATGGTAACCTCAGTAACATTCATTACATAAGCAAGAAAAATGAGAGCTGTTACTTAGAGAGCCTTATCTCTTCACAAGTACTGAAATTCTCTCATGCATTTAACTGAGAGACAGCACACTGGAAGTGAAGACGAGAAAGTGGACCGTTAATTTCTTCACTCATTTCTGTTACCTCAACAAAACAAAAAAACTGTGGTAACAAATATTACCACAGTATATCAGTATTACAGTATTACTTTGAAACGCTTCAAAAGTATTTTTCAGTTTACTTGCGGCTATTCTCAGTCATCCAGAGCATCATAACAATCTCAAAAGTAAGCAACCGGACTCATCAAAGAGGATTCATCAGTTCTTCATCAGTTCCTTTCAGACTGAAAATATTTTTCTGTTAAGTACTGCATTTGAATGTGTATTCAAGTCCCACAAACAAGGCACTGGGTTTGGGTACATTCAGATTTACCTAATCTTGTTTCAGTATTTCCAAACATGTATTTTCTGGGGGTTTTTTTCAATGATGTTTTTCACATCATATTTTATAGTTCCATATACTACCACCAGGGACAGGTAAACACACTTACAGTACACTTTTATGTAACTTTTACACTTTTTCTTTTTTGGACCTAAATTGCATTGGCTGTGTTCAGATATTTTATACTTGGTCAAACTTTGCCCTTCAAGAATAAAAAAAAAATCAGCTTGTTTCACTTCCTACCTCTTTGATGATGTAAACTAAAGAGGCAAAGATCAAAAAACTGTTTCGTGGCTCAGCGTATTTTTTTTAGATGATGCTAAAAATATCATTAACATGAATTATCTGCAAACTGACAAAGCAGGAAATCTGTGGGAGGCTGTTTTTTTAGTCACTAAAAAAAATCAACATCTCAATAAATAAATGTCTCTAATATAAATGTATAGCTTTATATATGACCTTTATATGCACAAACTATAGCAGGTCTGCCACCAGGGGTCTGTGGTGGTACTGCATGGGGGGTTCAGTTCATTAGAGAAATTATAATATCATCAATGTTGGGTTTTTTCCAACAAATGTAAATGTTTTTAAATATACATAATCAGTTAACATTTGCAAAAGTATAAATAGTATAAGTTACCCAACTACTACTACTATGAGTTTTGACCCTAGGGGTGATCACGTGACAGGTTCAGGTGGATCGTGTCAGTTGATTGGTCCTCCAGTCTTTTTACTAGATTGTGATTAATTCTTTTTTGTCTGTCTGGAATCTTTTTGACTAACCCCGCCCGGGCCCGCCCACCTATCCCAGTGTCCCTGTCATGTCTCTCCACCATTTGGATCAGTTGGATTTGACAGCATTTTACCCTAAATCCGATCCCCAGGAAATCTAAATGCAATCCCTCTATTGGCTGAGACTTAATTCATTGCTGACTGATTAACGCTGTCATCAGCTGAGCCAGGCCTTCAGGTATCATTAGGTTAATGATCGCAGATGTACGGCCAGGCCTTAAATCAAAGTGTCAGTAGTCGCTGGTTTGAAAATGTGCCTCGTGTCAGAGAGCGAAAATCTCTCAATCAGCTCGCTCGTTTTAGTTGCTGGACAGCGACTCATCAACTCGTCCTACTTAGGACTTTGGTACATTTACATCCTACGAGGACTCTGCTGCCATGTTTAGTCCAACAGATCCTGGGAAATGGGCAGACAACCGTTCTTTCTCTTCCTCTTTGTGCAGCTCTTCTATCCGTCTTCAGACAAACTGGCAAGACGGTCAATAGCCCCCCCTCCCTCCCCTCCTGCCCCTGTCTTGCCATCCACCCTTCATTGGTATGCTTTCCTCCTTTCATCACTGAACACATCCCTCCTTCCATCGACTGCTCCGTGTCTAAGCAACCCCTGGCGTTGATTCATTTTCCCACTTTATCCTCCGTGCTCCCCACTGTTCCTCATTGTCTTCCTTCACTGTCCATCTATTTACTTATCTAGTGGAGTAGTCAGCATGTGATTGTGTGCTCGGTCTGGCACCGATCCACGTTACCCTTCACTGAAGAGGACTGAAGGACTGGGAGTGGGGCCAGCTGGCCTGGACTCAGCACGGTTCAGGCACAATACCAGTGATGGGCCATGGAGACGAGGTCAATGCAGCCTGGATCATGTGCTTTCTGCACTTTTGTCCTCCTGTCTGTCCATATGCTTTAGATATACTGACGCTGTCCAGCAGGGTGCACCACATAAAGGCTGAGTTGTCCTAACATTTGCCGTAACCTCGTGTAAATGTTTGATAAATTAGAACCTCTTTGTAGTGCTCCTTTGGAATAATTCAATTGGTTAACTCAGTAAAATTGGACTGAAATTAACCTTTGCTGTCTCTAAAACGAAAATGTATCCTGTCTTTAAAATAAAAAATGAAAATGAAACAGGAAAACTCCCAAATCAGTTGTACACTACTCTTAGTCACTCACTTCTCACTTTTTGGGTAGAATTCCCAATATATCATAACAAGCGCTATGGAGCACGTTCACCACACGAGGCAGTGTATACAAAAGTAGATACTGCACATATGTCTGTTAGTTTCAGGCAGTTCAAAGCCCAGTACTTCTGACTGAAATAACTTTTCTACATGTTACGTTACTTCTAAATGATACATAAAATCATTATTCAAAACAAATCTTCTATCTTTTATCAGGACAATGCTGAGTCACTGCTTGGAGTTTAAACTCCCTGTACACACATTACACAAAAATCCATTTTATGAGCATTTAAATCACTGTACTCCGGTGGACCCCCCCGCCCCCCACATTCACTCCCCCAACACCCCTCCCCTCACAAACAGGACATATATTGTGGCTTGCACATTGACTCACAACTTCCCCACCTATGTTGCTCTTGTTGCCACATTGTTGTTGTTCTTATCTTTCACTCATTGCATAATCGACCTTTCCTCTTTCTTCAACCTGCACTATATTGAACTTTTTCCCCTCTGTCACCTGTACTCGATCCGGGACCAGGGAAACTCATTTCGCTCATCCCATGTCTAACGTGTGTTGCAATGACAATAAAATAACCTTAAGTCCTTATACAGTGTATATTGTATAAGTGACAAATAAGCAAATGCAAATGAACATCATAATGTTTGTTTTAAGAGACATTTATAACTGTATAAAATGACACTTCTCTTACCATTTATCTAGCTGCTTGTCTCCTTAACAGCTGCTGTGTGTGGTCTTGACCCCTGATGATGAACAATGAACTGGTCAGTGAGAGGAAGTTTACATAAAGAGAGGGAGAAGGAAAAAAACAAAAGATGAGGTTGGAGCTGAGCCAAAGTCTGTCAGCTGCAACTGTTGACAGAAGATGTAGAAGGTCAGAAACAGCAGATGACGCAGGGTAAAAGACCTACATGTGACATGTGAGGTAGAAAAGCACTCTTAATTCATGATTTTAAATTTTAATAAAAGAAATCTGCTCGAATTAGAGTAACATTTTCAACTGCATCGTCATCTTTACTTTTCCATCATATTTACAATCCACCATATTGTCTGGTTTTAAAGTGAGGCAAGGGGAATAGAAAATTGCCACTAGAGGACGCCTTGTGTGATTGCAAACATACACTAAGTAAAGTAAAACATTTTTTTCCAGATTGCCTCCTTTTATGGGAGAAAACTTTTTGAGGTGATGTTTACGTCAGAGAATTTCTTTCTTTTTTTTTTTTTTTTTGTGGAATTCTGACTAATGTCTTTGACACCAGGTCACAGCATTCTGCTTTTCAATCATTTTCCAGATTAGGGATCAATAAAGTTCAACCTTAAACCTTAAACCTTTTCCTCCAAGGACAGAAATTCTTTCAGTTGTAGGATAAGAACTTTTTTTTTCTTTGAATTTAAAATAGTTGTAAAAAAAAATCAATTAAAACATAACAAAGCTAAAAAGAAGAAAAATATATATAAAAAATAAATAATAAAATTAATAAACCGTCCAAAGCTGTGGAAATGTTTCAGCAATTGAAATCAGACACCTTTTCTTTTCTAAAAAAAAAAGAAAGAAAAAGAAAACACCTCTAATTATAAAAGTTTTCACTTACCCTCGCAGGTTCTTGTTAGAGCCCAGTTGAAGATCCACTGTTGAGATGGTAAAGTACGTTGAAGGTCTGTGGCTTTCACAAATGACACATCGCTGGAAAAACACATAAAAAATAGTTTAAAAAAAAACATATATTGTTGTTAGTTATAAAAGTAAAACACATAGGTTGATGCAATAAAACATCACAAACCATCACAGCTCCAACAAAGACAGCTAACCAATCAAAGAGACTTGATTAAGTCCTCAAAATATACAATTTATTCAAAATATGTTAATGCAAACATCAATATATTCCAGTAATTACAAAATCAGTAGTATTTTCTTCCTCTTTATAAACATATACGCATCTTAATCTTACACTTTAATCTCTTTACATACAGTAAGGGTCGCAGTCACAAACGGTGACCTCGACCTTTACAACGTGAAACAGGCGACTCTCCCCGTCTGGCTCGGCTGTACTTTGAAAACAATCTACTTCAGTCTGAGGGGTAATTTTCGACGACAGATACAGATACTATTCAGTCGGAATAGTATTTTTATTTAGGTATGGGCTGAAGTACGTTGAGTGGTATTCAATGATTCACAACAGAAGGTTTTAACACAACATGACAAAAAAACACTGACACAAAAATTAAAAAACACAAGAATTTGTGCAATTGCTTTACATGACAGTGAGGAAAGAAAAGACTCTTTCACCAGCTGTGGTGATTTCAGGACATTTACATCATGGACCACTCTTTGGCACTCGCATCAGGATCAGAGACTCAGCAGATTGGTTCACGGCCCATGTTTGTTTATAGTATCAGAGCCAGCAGTGTGTTAGCTTAGCACAAAGACTGGAAGGAAATGGGTGGTGTGACTCGTAATCAGGCTGTGTACTGAGAGAGTGTGCCAGTAAATTAACATGTTACACTTAGTTTGTGCAAACGTGGGCTGCTTCAAAGGCTCATGTGTCTGGAACAAAAACCAACTCGTCATTTTTATATGGGCCGCATAACTAAATATTATTGGCTGTTTGTTTTGGAAGGTTGATTTCACTGCTTGACTCAGAGCCTGTGGATAAATGAGTATTTATAGCAGTGATTCTCAACTACTGGGCTGCAGCACATTAGTGTGCCATGAGAGATCTCAGGTGTTAAAGATCTTTGTGCAAATTTCTTCAATTCCTGCAATATATTAGCATGTTGTTCAACCAAACATCCAGAGTTCACACTCACAATGACAGAAAATTGTGTCTAAATTAAACCCAGATCATTATATTTCCTTACACATTCTTTTTGTAACATTGTTGTTCGGTGGTATGCCTTGTGAATCTTTCTGATGTAAAATATGTGATGTAGCTCAAAAAATATTGGAAAACACTCATTTAAAGAACCACAAGAAAATAATATATAGTTTTGGCTGCAGTAACACAATCAGCCAGATGGGGGTAGCAGCTACCTGCAGGAAACATCCGATCAAAAATCAACTTCTTTTAGAAAGTACTCAGTCAGTGCATACTTTTCACGGGCCATTTTGGTGTCATTAGACAGAATATTAGCACAGTACTGTAAGTTGTTATGTTGTAAATTCAAATGTTGGCGAAAGTAGAGGACGCAGGCTTCCTCAGTTCTCAAAACGTCCACAAGGCGGCTGCCTACACTGCAAACCCTAAGCTTGAAAAAAAGCAGTGTTAACAGTAAGTGGGTGAAAACTGTTTAAAGACCAACAGAACTGTGGACTCTCTTCACACCATGTCCAAATATGGACCTTCACAAAATAAACTGAGGCCACTGAGTCCTGGTGTGTCCTCAGAAAAGTCATACTATACTTACAGTATTTATTACAAAACATTTACAGTTCGTGTTAACGACACAGATACAGTGACTGAAGGGGAAAAACAACAATTAACATAAACACCATAATTCGTAGTGACACTGTAAGGACAGCTCCAGTGGGATGGCGTGTGGTTGTATAACGTACATTAACATAGCAACACATGTGGGGTATGTATTTGTTTTTTTAATTTTCCACATCAGAAGGTGCTTTGTAAGAACATTCTCCAGCTCATCTCAACATTTCATTCATTAATACCCACATAATAAATACACTCCATTTCAGAAAGCATTATGTTTTTTTACACATTACATTACTTTATAAATAGAGAAAAATATAGTCATTTGTCAACATGTTTGTTCTATGGACAAAATTCTGCAAAAATTAAAAAAAAAGAAAAAGAAAAAAAACACAAGCTGTCAGTTAAAGTGTGATATATATATATATAAAAAGGACGGTGAGGTGAGGTGTACAACACAGTGTAAGTTTTATACACAGGTGCAGTAAAAAGTACACTTCCTGAATACTCTAACACTGCTTTATGGCGTTTCTTCCCTTTACTTAATGCAAACGGCGTGTTGTGAAGGAGCCCACAGCAGGGTGGTGGTCTGTCGCCCTCTGCTACATTTATCTCTTTCATACAGTGTGATACACGACACATCTGGACACCGCTCCGATAAACACTGACAATAATGAGAACACTGAGAAGCCGAACACTGGTGACAAGATGGAGGGAATATTTCCGGTACGTCCCTTCAGTCCACCAAAGGCTCGTGTCCGTCTTTAATGGTGGGAACATGCAGAACCTCAGACTCGACTTTCATGATTTTAAATGTGTGACCACATCCAGGTGAAAATACTGAAGCAGAAATATTCACGCTTGAGTTTTTGTAGAAACCGTTAGCGACTCTTGTCTGAAGACTAAAATGTCAAGGTAACATCTACAGGGAAAATTCGTTTCCTCCTTTTCTTTGCTACATTTGCCTCTATTTCTTCAATTACTCAAAAGTAAGACGTGACGGAAATGTGTGAGGGGAAACTTACTGGACCTTTTTGGAGCTTCTCTGCGGAGGACTAACTTCCCGCCTTCCTACAGAACCTTCTGTATCTTCCTTCATATTTGTGTGAATCAAAAACCTTCGGTGTGACTCGAGCGCTACGATACGCAGCAGCAGGTCCGAGCCTGGAGCTGCTGTTCGTCTATGGGCTGTTTGAACTTGAGCAGAGGTGGGTCACCGCTGGCCGGTGTGTAGTACACAGCACTGCCGTTGGAGGACACCAGTGGCATTCGGGGATCGTCGGAGATGCTTTTGGTGTCGGAGAAGGAGTCCGTGGAGCCGTTACCTAGGTGACCGTTCAACAAGGGGTGGTTCATTAATTTGGCGGCGGCCCTCTGTTTCTTCAGCTCCGACAGAGTCTGTGGACGCTCCCGCAGCCAGGGCTCCTCCTGTGAGGGCTGCTTGGAGACGACCCCGCCGTTAGCAGATGGTGGCGTGCTGCCGTTCGAAGGGGGCGGCGGCGGCGGCACAGACGTCGTGGTGGAGATGAGGCCGTTCTGCCTGTTGTTGTTGATGCTGCTGCCATCTTTGAGTATCGCAGGGAGCTTGGACTTCTCCGGCAGTTCCACGGAGTCGACGGGTTTGACCTGCAGGGGGCATCAACAGAGATTACTCCAAATCCACTACAAGCTCTCTGCGTTAGATAAAAAGTGACACCAGGGCCTGGCTGGGTGCAGTCAATTTATTCCAAAGACTAACCTCCAAAAGTTTAACTTTTTCTGGACTTTGGAACAACAATTCATTTTGCATTTCATTTGGATTTTAATTACTGTTTGAATTAACACTGACCATGGAATGTGTTACAGCAGCTCGTAGGTGTCAGACAGAAGAATTTAGAGATTTAGAAAAACAAGAGCGCCAGTTGACATAAAACTAAATTTACATGAACCACTTGGCTGTTCTCCTGGTCAGACTCTTTCTCCTTCTCATCCGCCCCCTCTCTCCCTCCTCTCCAGACGATGGCCTCCGTCTCGTACTCCTTTCGACATAAGTTGTGTCTGTCTGACAGACTCGCCCGGCGAACCACTTTCCTGTGGACAGATGTTCAGATCACAGTGACGCCAAACAGCTATAAACAGTAACTTATGTCACACTCAGATAGTCTCCTGAATTCTAAATATATTCTTAAAGACTACCAATGATGTACCTCTGTTTACATGCTCCGTATTAAGTAAGTTAGCTGATTTTAAGCATCAAGATTCTGTTCGCTGGTTTATATGGACACAGTATTTTAACACCATTACGGTAAATGCACCTTCACATAATTTCCAGGGGGCACCCCATGTACTACAAAGCTCCATCATGGGAGAAGCCTGTTCACTTCACTTGATTTAGTGAAACATGCTAAACCTGGCAATTATTAGATAACAAAACTGCAAGAAATCAGCTTCAGTGTATGTCAGTTTGTAATTTTGTCAAATCCTTAAGTAGGCTTTCGTTTACTTTATCTGGCCAGAGTAATAGTTAGGAAACATGCGAAAACGAAATGTCGTGTTGCTAAATTTGCATTTCTCAAGTGATTATTTTTACACTTTGAAACACCTGGGCAAAAAAAAAAAATAGTTCCTCCTTAAAAAAAAGCTGCAAAATGAACCAGTGACAAAGTTTACTTAACGTCACCAGCAGAGGGCAGTGCTTACCCACGGCTGCCCGCGCTGGACGTTCGCCTGCAGAGCGACGTCTTGTGTTTGAGCTGCGACTTCATGATGGTGTCGTGTTTGTGTTTGAGATCCAGCAGCATGGCCCTGAACTCCTCATCCTCACACAGATCTGTGAGAGAGTCAATGAGAGAACACTGGCTGTTACACACTTGAGTAATTGAAAAACAACAGGCGCAGATGAGATCGATGAATACTTTTGTTTGACTTTTGTTTTCCCTCGGAACAGCATTAGAGGGAATAAGACGTGATGAAGAAGAAAATATTGATTACAGGAGCTGAAAGATTCTGCCAAGATGAGGCTGTGTGTTTTAATAACCTCTGAGGAAGAGAGGCAGTCAAAAAGAAAAGGGGAATGAAGGAGGAAGGGAAGAAAACTAATAGGGCAGATAAAGAATAACAATAAGAATAAAAAGGAAGTCGATGAAAAAATGGAAAGAAATAAGACAAGGGACTGGAAGAATAACAAAACATAAATAAGAAAAAGATGAACAAGGGGATTTAGAAGAAGCAGCAGGAAAAGAAGATAAAAAGGAGAAGAAAAATGGGGAAAAGAAGAAGAGGGCAAATAAATAGAAGAAGAAATGCAGGAAGAAATAAAATAAGGAGAGGAAGAAGAATAGATACTGGAGGAATGAGAAAAGAAAGGAAAAGGAGATGGAAAAGAGGAAGAGAGCAGTAGAGATTTAGAGGAGCAAAGAAAAAAGAAGAATAGGAAACAATGAAAACAAGAGGAAAATAAGGAGAGGAAGAAGAATAGATAGTGAAGGAATGAGAAAATAAAGGAAAAGAAGATGGAGAAGAAAAAGAGGAAGAGAGCAGTAGAGAATTAGAGGAGCAAAGAAAAAAGAAGGAAAGGAAACAATGAAAAGAAGAGGGAAGAAGAACTAGAGGGAATAATAATAATAACAATAATAATTTAATAATTCAATCCCTTATTTATTCATTGGGGAAATTTACAGTGTGAGTCTTTGCAACCGACATGAGGTGCCATTAACTACGTGGCTGCAACTCACAGGCTGCCACACAGGAAGCGCAATTGGGGATATGTGGTTCCTCTGGGAATTGAAACCGGGACTCATTGCAAGGCTGACGCGCTAACCGCTACACTATGAAACCACCGATATAGAGGAAGAACAAGAAGAAATACACCGAAACATGTTCTTAGATTCAAACGGCTGATCTTTAGGTGGAAGTTTGACCCCTAACCCACTGAGCTACAGACACTCCAGAACAGAGAGAATGAAACAAAAAAGATAACTGGTTGTCACTGTACCAATGGGTGTCTCTTCCAGGAAGGACTTGGCGTTGAGACTTGCTCCATGAGAAACCAGCAGCTCTGCCACGTGCATCTGAAAACAACAACAACAACAACAACAACAACATCCAGAGGAGAGAACCCCATTAGTGCCTTTTCACGAGACATTAGCATGTTACAGCTTCCCGTGGTTCACCTCACCTGACCCCAGCAGGCGGCAGCGTGGAGAGGCTGCCATCCGTCTGAGTCCCTGAGGTCCATGCGAGCGCCGCCCTCCAGCAGCAGCTCTGCCGCCTGCACGTAGCCGTTGGCTGCTGCGATGTGGAGCTGCAAGGTCGCAGGAGGGACAGCAATCAGATTATATGAGGTCTTGAATTAAACAGCGTTGCCTTGTTAGGGTATGTTTAAGTTGAGATGGAAACATTAAATCAGATAAAAGTTTGTTGCGTCTTTCTGTTGTTCCTATTCTGTTGGACTTTTTTATTTATCATATAAAAATATATATCTATACTTATATATCTTAATAATAAGTTCAAGTCTATACTCTAAGAAAAAAAAGATCTTTCTTTCTCACTGAAAGCCATTACTCCAGTGCTTTAGAAACGTATGCAACATTTTACTGTATAAATGTATGACCACGAATAGCCAGAAAATCACATTTTTTAATATCTTTTTCTTTTTAATTTATTCCCTTAGTCGATTCACGTATAAGGACGAGTTCATTCTTAGCCTATGGTACAATCAATTACAAAATGACTCTGCATGATACTGTGAAATAATCATGAAAAGCTGCACAAACTGATGTACTTTTTGAATGAAGAGAGCAAAAAAACATAATAGGAAAACCTACAAGACAAATTAGATTAGTTTTGAAAAGAAAGAAGTTTTGAAAAGAAAAGACCTATATATAGGTCTTCTTATATATAGATGTCTGTCTTCACAGACATCTATTTCATTTTTTTAAATAAATGAAATAGATGTCTGTGGCTGCAGCATTGTTCCGCATTTCATTATAACTTCATGTAAATCAATGCTGTTTACTTCCTCCCAGGCTGTAATTCAGCCAGGTGACTCAGAGTACAGGGTTCACTGCTGTGTCAGTAACTTCTGACTTCACACACAATGGGAACCGAAAACTTCTGGTCTGAAATATCAAGCAGGCCAGAGACGTTCCATCTCTACAGAGTGAAGATATGAATCTCTGGACAGGAACTGGAACATGCTGCTTCTGTTACTTCCATCATTTCTATTCCACACTCGAGTTTTACTGAATTGATTTACAGGATGTACTGGTGTTGCTGGGATGAGGAGGAGCTGTGTTTGGTGGAAAGAAAAAAAAAAATCATAGCTCTGTGCACTGCATGAATACAGACACTCAAAGGGATACTGCTTTGTTCTGAGTAGTATCACAGAGAAACACACGCTGCTACAGCGGAAAAGTCAATGGAAAATAAATCGAAGGCTAATCACTGGCACTTTCACCAAACAGTTCGTTTCCGTTCCACAATACAGTAAAATCCAAAACAGTGACTGAATAGAAAAAATGTGACGTCAAAGCCCCAGAAACAGAAGCCACTGTCACTGAACAGCTACAATGTCTCTTAGCAAAAGGAAAAAAAGGTATTTTTCAATTTTCAATTTATCAACCTCGATCCTATTTATAGGAAATCACCAGATAAACCACTGCAGATGAATTTTGCGTGTTTTTGACAGATTCACTGCGGCGAGTGACATCCGTCCGTATGCCGTTCCAAGTTAATTGCATTAGACTTCTCATTGAGAAACTGTGACTGTGCATCATAAATGCAGCCTAAAAGCACTTATTCTCCCTGGCCTCTCGCGGTGTCGTGGTTAGCCAAGACTGGCTGCAGCTCCTCCAACAGGATTTAGTGGGTGAAATTGAAATGGAGTGATTTCTTTTTCCAGAGTGCTTTCTCACACATTGTGATTGACAGTCTATTTATCATCCAGGGCTGCAGAGTAAACAGCGTTAACTCCTGTTAGGTATTTATATATTTTTTTTAAATATATCATAATAATTGAAACCCAGAGTGGCCAATATGTGTTGTGTTTATACGTATCAGTCTCTCACATGGCAATTAAAGAGGCAAATAGGTATTTAAATCCAGTTGTTTATACTGAATAACATACACTAGAGCAGGTGTCTCCAACCTCCAGAGCATTTTAGCATCTTTGCATTGTCATCGTGCAGCATCAAATTTACCTGATATATGAAATAGACAGGTATTAAAAGATGATAACAGACCGGGACCGGGCTGTAAAGATAGGGTTTTTCAGCTTTATAATATATAAACCATACCATTGTAATGTCACTGCTGCGTTATTTAAGATGTGGTCAGATCACTGTATGTGACTGTGGTGAGTGTGTTGTACTAAAGGACTTAAAACCTCATGTACCGCACTACTGCGTCATTAAAATGGTGGAAATGTGTTTGCGGCTGTGGGTCTGTGAGTCTTGTTGGAGGAGATTGAAATTCCACTGGTGAAACATAAAACAAAAGTCAAAAGAAATGCACAAACATGGCAATATTTTCATCACGCAGACATCAGAGAAGCCTCAGTGTGAGGTTTTAGTTGTGCAGCTTAAAAGGACAGATATTTCTTCTTCTTTTTTTTTTTTGCAGTACAATCTCATTCCTGTCAGATTTGGCTCAGGGAGACAGGATTAAACTGATTATTCTTACACAGCATCAGGTGTTCTGCAGAGAAATAAAGATTAATCTTGCAGAACCTCTGGCCAGAGCTTCACAGGGTTATTTACATGAGGTTTTTACACTGTTAGTTCAGTGAAAGTAAGATTTGGTTTTTGTTTTCATACACATTTTTCATATCAACTCAGGAAGTTATCGACTATCAAGGTCAATTTTGAGACTCAAGCTGCACAATCCATCCGTCCCATATGGTCTAGCGGTTAGGATTCCTGGTTTTCACCCAGGCGGCCCGGGTTCGACTCCCGGTATGGGAA